TCCACTTTGCATTTTGTCAGTGTTTTACCTTTGTTTCATATTCGCAGTAAACTGCGCTATATAAGTAATTGTGCGTTTGCCTGTGAATTTAATATAAATACTTGATATATAGATATTTGCTTAGTATGTGTTAATAATTAAAATGTTTAATCTAATTAGTATTACTTACTTCGTTAATTATCCTCTTCATCCCCTGCGAGGCATACGGCAATTTTTATATTTCATATATCATGTATCATGATCTATCTTTTATTAGTATATATTATTCTTGGCATATGGTTACACTTACTGCGCTATCACACCATGGTTTATGTTTCATTCTTGGCGACCACATCATGGAACCGAGGTCATGCTGGGGCAAACCCTGTCAATCAAATGAAACCAAATCTTCTCCCACTCACTTCTTTCACTGTATGTGCTTACGAATCGTCTTCATATTGTAAATACTAGTGTAGCAAACGGATGGTGTTCAAATAAAATACCTACAGTTAGTTTGTTAGGCAAATAACACAGGTCGTCTTTGTATTTTGAATAACTTCTTTGTTATCTCTTTTGATATATCTGGGTTGTAGTAGTTCTTATTCCACATATTTGTTAGTAGTTTAATGTCCAGTTATGAAGGCTAGCCCTTTATCCCCCGGCTATTTAGGCAGTCCTGGCAGTAAATCTCTTTGATTATTAATATCACCTTTGAACCAAAACATATGAACTTAGCACAAACGAGTTATCCTTAAAGTTACAACTTACTACTCTTCAAAAATAGGTTTTGATTTTTTCGCGTGTTTTCAAGTTGTTTTTTTGTAATGGGCTTTCTTTTTTTCACCAGTATCTTTTTTTTACGCCAACTCCAAAAAAGGCCTCAAATCACGCCAATAAGCCAAAACTCTGCTTGGAGAGTAACTCACAGCTATCAGCCGTCCCCACACGGTCATGCCGACTCCCTCCGGGAACAACAGCCGAACCCCCGCCTCGATTGTCAGGGTCGCCGCCTCACCGACGATGATTTCATCGGTAACGTTGTACGGACTTCCCGACAGACTGATGGTGTGGTTGTGATAATAGGATCCGCCTACGTCGTCAGAAAGTGCACCGGACCATAACCCAAAGCCAGGTATAACTGAAACCAGAAGAGTCATAGCAATTTATTTGAAGAGATCTTTAAAAGATAACAACACCAGGCTCTAAAATAGGGCACTTTTAATTTCACTGTATTTTTTTACATTGTTGAACATGGTACCAGTTGAGGGGACGCTGAACATGGTACCAGAACACGTATTCCCATTGGGATTTCTGTAGTTAAGTACCATTCGTAGGTGTCTGTCTCTCTTCGACATGGTTAAAATAAACTATGTTTAAATACCTTTGAGGCCCTCTTTTAAATGACTTTCTGAGAAGGTCAACAGGAATACAGTCGGCTTACCAGGTACACAACTACGTAGTTAGGTGCATTTTATACGGGCAGGAATCCCTTCACATTCATGATTGGGCAGTCTGAAACTTAATATTTCTTTGCCACACAGTACAGTTTACTCCTGTATACCTCCTAGCTAGGCTGCAAGAATTTTGTCCGTACGTATTTTATCCCATTGATACTGTTTTCTACGTCTTACGAGAAGCCCTCTCTCTTTAAAAACAAAAATATAGCAAAACAATACACTAAAATTATAAGACTAATAATAAAACTATACAAAAATGATGACAGAAAACAACTAAAGTGAGGCACGTTGGTTTACATCAAAGATTACGGAAACATTTTAGTGTGAACAGTAATGCTGTGTCTTTCTGCTTTTTCGCGAGGCAATTATCAATCGTATATCCTTATATATAAGACTGAGCTACTAATGATTAGCTTGTAACAAAATATTATTCTAACGTACACAAAGCCCAGATTCATGACGAAACAATTAATGTTGCAATTGTAAAAGGCATATTCAAAGTCATCGATGTCAAAATCAAAGTCCAACAAAAACGTCTTGCCCCGTAGAAACAAGTATGGACTTAGCAGGACGGACTCGACTTATCTATCACACAATAAGGTGAAAAAAGTGCAGTGACTAGATGCTGTTCAAACATAGTAAGTGTGGACAGTCTTTACCGGAGTAACATGATAAGCCTCGACACACAACGTTCACGCAAAAATAGCCCTACTTTACTGACCTGCGATTGTTGCGGTTTGGGTCAAGAGCAGGACAATCCCGACGAGATAAACTCTTTTTCCGGCCATATTTTCGCAGTTTTAGCTTAGTTTTTCCTCAGAAAAATCTAGATTTCTTGAAACCTCAGCAACAAGAACGCGAAAAGTGAACCTGTTGCGTAGTTTCCCTGTTAAGAACGGTAATCTTATACTACCTCAAGGACACGTACAGTGCAGAAGGCATTGTGCGCCAGGTGTTGCTATGACGACGCCACGGCAGCCATCTTGTGCAATATAAAACCTGAGCTGCGGCCGACGTTGGCTGGTACAATGACTTGCGATGTATCAATATTTATCTGGTATACATTTCTCGTCAGGGTCAGATGCGGTCACTCCAGCTTTATATTGGGAGGTGTACAGAACAATGTGTAAACACATTGCCGACTAACTTAAACACGCCTGAATATACTAGACTCCTCCTAGGTTTTTCGGTACAGTGTAAATTTAAAACTGTTTTTACATTTATAACGAGCACCGAGCAATGGGGAGCGAAACTTGGCGGCACAACCACGAAATTACGGCGTTTTTGAAAAATGAACTTTCTAAAATGGCATATTGTGCGTTTTTTAGAGGATTTCAAAGAAAAAATCAGAGACAAATGTTTATTCAATGACAAAGGGAGCAGTTTTTCTATGATTCAGTCTATCTTTTCAAGAAAAATCTTGGACCTTCCCCCCCCCCTTGGCTACGGGCATGGTGTGTGTGCACATGTCCCTGTCATACATTCACGAACTTCCCACAGGTAGGCCAATGTTCGGGGGCACTCTGAACAGATTTAAGGCACGTCCACTTTTGCATATGAAGAAAACCAAATTTAGGTCAGATTGATCGATGAAGCCAAATTTGATTCCTTAACACTGCAGACGTACTCCATGTGTAGTTATTGGCAGTCCTCAGTATATGATTGTGTTTATCAATGGTTAAATCATATAAATGTTGAATGTAGAAAGAAATAGGGAATCTAATGATGACATGATGTCCATTCTTGCTAAAAATAGATTCAGAGCTACGAAGAAGGGGAGGACATCTTACTTAAAAAAAAACGCCCGAAAAGAAAAGTGTATACCCAAGTCACAATTGCAATAAAAAAGGGCACCCTTTTTAAAACTTACCACAAGAAAATACATAATACTATTAAACTGGCGCTAAGAATTAACACATTGTGGTCACTTTATTTATCTTCTCTAGACTTGTATTCGTTAGGAAAAAAATTGACAATGTATTTTAAGTTCGTGGTTAAGAATATTCTGTTGTAATACATAGGAACAGCACTATTTTATATTACAACATGACAATCTCATTGACAAGTTTCTTAATCTTATATTATCATATAGCCAAGTGGCGTTGACCAATCAGAAGCCCCTATTCCATATTGATTATGACGCCATGATGTCACAGTTAGCATGATGCAAGTATTGCTAGGTGTTTTTTATTCTCACAAGTGTGCTTTGTTGCACAATAAAGCACGGCCCGGAGCAAACCATTTGCAGGGGAGTTGACTCTTTTTGCTGACATTTGTAGCACGTTTTCTTGTTGAATAGAAATGTTTACCGTCTTGTCATCACCCAATTTATTTAGCAATACAAAACAAAATAAAGACCATGTCAATACATGTGAATTTTGAGCGAAAGAAAACATATTTTCGCCACCCCCACTAATAAGTACATTTCTGTATTGAAACATCCAAATGACCTCAGATGACTTAAAATGGAAGCTTGTTCTATTCTTTTGGCCCAAAATAACCACAAATGGAATGCCGGTTCTATTCCGAAGTTCCGGTGAACTCAAATGAACAGGTAAAATCATCACACTAAAGGGCATACACTTTTAGACAATGGTGTGTCAGAATTTGTCATAGAAGAACTGATTGAGGCCAATTTAGACTCAATATGTGGGTCCTTGGAATCGGGAAAGATGCACAGGAACAGTGGCCAGCGGACGGAAGGATAGATGAGTGACTGTAATGGTTTGTTATATAATTTACATATATGTGTTATACAGGAATGTATTACTCTCCACTGTGTAAGTTTTAAAAGGCTATATGATAATAGCGTTAATGGCCCGCCCTTTCTCGGTGAATATGGTGTGATAAAGCCTTGTCAGTTGCTATAAGCACCTCATAAAGTCACCTCGTTCGCTGTCGCTCACTCGATGGTTTTATTCGGTGGCTATAGCGACTGCCAATGCTTTATCACACCATATTCACCTCGGGGCGGGTCATTAAGCCTAATAGCCAGATAGCGTTGACCAAACAGAGGTCCCCATTTGCTATATGTTATGACACCATAACACAGCCAGAGGTCATTAAAATCCCATAAACACCGGAACCAATCAGCGTCGACCGATAGTCAAGTCAAGTCAAAGTTTATTGCACAGCGATTGTCACGGGTACAATGTATGGCAAATACCAATATTACTATTTGGTATGTGTCTAACATAATGCTGTATATAGGGTCCACGGACACTGTATCTGACAGAGTGTTACAAAGAACTACTGGCTAAAAATATCTCGACTCTACGTGTACGCTCTACATTACGCTAAAATATACACATGAAGGGTACAGTGATAAGTTGTACCTAATTATACAAAACATGTTCTATGGCTACTAAGCAGAGTGTACATGTATACTAAGTTACTTGCCAGGAATGTTAAAATTCTACATATAAATGCTACGAAAAGCTACACTATATACATGTAGTTGATAAAGTATTCAATGACTCTACTTATGCAGCTATTCTAAGATGTCTTTTTTTGCATGGCATTAAAAATATATATCATAACTATATATACAGAAAATGTGTTTGGACATGACATAAGTATATGGAACGTCTCTCTAGATGTGTTGGGTAATGTTTTAGTAGTCTTACATCGGATCATCTGCATTTATTTGCGTCTCTCTACGTCGTATGTGGGGCATATCATCAGAAAATGATATTCATCTTCAACTCCATCTTTGCACGTAGGACAAAATATCTGACTGGCTGGTATATTGTTGTGTCTGCCTTTTTCAATCGCTGGACAGTGTGCTCCGATTCTTAATTTTGTGGTATTAAGTATAAAGGATTTGGTTTGAACAGATAGGAGATAGTCCTCGATGTGAAAGTTTTTATTTTCATTTTTGAGTATGTTTCAAGTTTATTAAACTACTTATCTTTTGCCTCCAGCCAGATAGAAATTTGTCCTTAAGGCGCTCTTTGAATATGGATCCGAAATATTTGGCGTCTGTAATGGGATTCAACCAAATATTTTGGAAGCCATGTCTACAGAGTGTGTCTCGTACATGGACTACCCAGTCTTGCTCTTGTCTAACGACTTCGTGATATGCTTTCTTAACTATTCTGTCTTCAGGGAGGTTGTTTAGTCTTATCCAATATTTGATCAGTTGCGTCTGGATATCTATGTACAGTGGGAATACGCCGGATTCGCCCCTTACAGCAGCAATAACTGAGCTTTTAGGGACGCGGAGAAGTATCTTACAGAAGTTTAGGAGAACATATTCAAAGTCGGAAATCTCGTAAGAAATAGTAGGCTGGACTATTGTTATGTTTTGGTTACATAGTGTTTTGGAATGGTATACAATGTCTAACATGTCATTGTAGTAACTAAGTCGGTAACAACAGGGCGGTTAAATGATGGCATAGAGGATAGGATTGTTTCCCTTCACGGCGAGCCTTGCTGTGAGTGTCATTTCTTTAGCTTTTGTATGTTCTGGAGCCACTTCACGATTGTGTCATAATTGTGTTTCACAGTCTTTACCTTCGGATGGCTTTCGTCTTGGTAAACCTGCCTCATCATATCCAGTGCTTGCGTGCTTATGCGGAAGGCCTTGGGAATATCATGATTGAGTAAACTCGCAGTTCCTAACATAGATAGTGCATCTGCAATGTCAGAATCTGCAGTGTCCTGTCCTCCCATGGTCTTTCTCATGTTTATCTCCTTTTCAAGGTAGCTGATTGCTTTTTGGTAACCTTCGAGATAATACCAGGCAACGCCAAGATTGTGGAGTGAACTTGCTATTTTGTCATGCACTGCATTTTGACCGAAGATATCCTTCCACATCTGAAGTTCTTCTTCATTGTATTTTATTGTTTTCTCAAAGTCCTGCATATTTTGACAAACAGTTCCCAAAGCGTTAAGTGATTCGGCAATGTCAGGGTGTGGTACATCGTAGATGGTTCTGTATATTTCCAGTGACTCTTTGTAACAAGTTAAGGATTTCTCGTAATCTCTTAGTTCATACCTGGCTAACCCCATGTGTTTTAGTACTTTCGCTATTTCAGGAAGTTTTGTGATTTGATCATGTGCGTTTATCATTTCCTCATTGTCATTGTGTGCTGTGCTCCGACCATGTATATTCCTGGGCATCTGTGATTCCTGATTGTAGCTGATGCCTTTTTTGTGATCACTTTTCCCAGAACAGACTGGCCCCTGGTGGCTTAATTTGGCAATGTGAGAATGTGCTATGTTCTGTACATTAAGATTTCTAAATATTTGCAGTGCCTGTTCATAGTAGCTAACTGCTTTCGCATAATCACCCTTTTTATGCCAACCTGATCCCAGGTTGTGTGTTGCTTTGGCAATGTCAGGATGTGCTGTACCCTGCCCATAAACAGTATTAAGCATCCGCAGTGCCTCTTCTTGACAGCCAATGCATTTTTGGTATTCACCTTGGCCTTCCCAAGCTAACCCCAGTTGTTGAAGAGAGTCGGCGATATCAACATGTGCTGTACTTTGACCATGGATATTCCTGTACGTCTGCAGTGCCTCTTCATGGTATCTAATTGCTTTCTTGTAATCTTTCAGGTTGCGCCAGAGAGACCCAAGGTGGTTGCATGCAATACCAACGTTAGCAGGCGATGTACCCTGATCACTGTACACACTCCTATACATCTGTAGTGCAGCTTCGTTGCAGCTTATAGCTTTTTCATAGTCATTTTGGACATACCAAGCAGATCCCAAGTTGAGGAGTTGGCTAGCAATATCACAATGTTTTGCATTTGGACCATAGATACCTCTGTACATCTGTAGTGCCTTTTCGTGGTAGCTGATTGCCCTTTCCTGATCACCTTTGTCATGCCAGGCTTGCCCCAGATTGTGGAATGCTGCAGCAATATCAGGATGAGCTGTGCTCTGGCCATAGATTGCTGTGAACATTTGCTGTGCCTGTTCGTAGTATATTATTGCTTTGCTTGTGTCACCACGGTGCTGGGAGGCTCTTCCCAAGTTGTTAAGTGCAGTAGCAATATGGGAGTGTGGTGTGCTAGGGCCATAAATGGTTCTTAATGCCTCAAGTGCCTCTTCACAATAGGACATAGCTTTTCTGTTATCGCCATAGACCTGCCAAGCTTGGCCAAGGTTGTTGAGTAAAACTGCAGTGAGTGGATGTGTTGTATCTGAACCAAACAATGTCCTACACATCCTCAATGCCTCTTCATAGTACGCCAAAGCTTTCTTCCAATCTCCTAATTCTTGCCAAGCATTTCCTATGATGTTAAGTGATTTGGCAACATTGGGATTTTCTGTCATTGTGCTGCAGTGTTTCCTCTCAATCTGCAATGCCTCTTCACAGTACTCAATTGCCTTCCTATGATTGCCCAGCTTAATGTACAATTCCCCCAACCCATTGAGTGCAGAGGGAACCTCAGGATGTGTTGCACCGGGACCATACATAGTTCTTAACATCTGCAGTGCATGGTTGGTGTACACGATTGCTTTCCAGCAGTCCCCAAAATGGCCCCAGCTACCTCCCAGCTTCCTGAGTGAAGAGGCAATGTCAGGATGCGCTGTGCCATAGACGGATTTTCTCATCTCCAGCGCTTGTTCATGGAGGCTAATTGCTTCCTTGTAGTTACCAAGATGATGCCAACTTGTCGCAAGGTTAGACAACGCGTTCGCAATGTCAGGATTTGCTGTATTCTCACCATAGACATCATTTGTCATGTTTACAACCTGTTTTTGATATGCAAGTGCTTTATTGCTATCGCCCAAGTATCCCCATGATGAAGCCAGATTGCTGAAAGATAAGGCAATGTTGGGATGTGCTGTATTTTGACCATAGGCCCCTTTGAATATTTGCAGTGCCTGTTCATAGTAGCCAATTCCTTTCTTGTATGCACCCAAAGAAATCCAAGCTGCTCCAATATTGTTGAGTGATAAGCCAATATCTGGGTGTACGGTATTCAGCCCATACAGAGCCCTTACTATCTTTAACGATTCTTCATGATATGTGATTGCTTTCATGTGGTTACCCATTTTATCCCAACATGTCCCTACATTGCTTAATGACCTGGAAACCTCAGACTGCGATGTGTGTAGACCCTGGATGTTTCTTCGGATGCACAGTGCTTGCTCGTGGTACATTACAGCTTTAATGTCGTCTCCCAGGCTCATGTAGATGTTTGCCGTATTTTCCAGGGCCCAAGCAATGTGGTGATGTTCTGTACTTGGGTAATAGATGTTCCTAAACATCTGAAGTCCCTGCTCACAATAGTCCAATGCTTCCTTACACTTGCCAAGATGTTCTAGGCTTGTGCCAAAGTTAATAAGGGCTGTAGCAATGTTGGGGTGTTCTTCAGTAAGACCGTGAATTGCTCTGCTCATTTGAAGGCCCTCTTCTTCGAAGCTGGCTGCTTTCTTGTAGTCACCTAGCTCTCCATACGCGATTCCAAGGTACGCAAGTAACATTTCGGTAATTGGCTGTGCTGTGTCCGAGATTGGCTGGATTGCTTTCTCAAAGTGTCTAATTGCCCTTCTATGGTCTTTTAGCTGCATACACATGATGCCTTTTACCATAGGTGAGTCATCAAATAATACAACTGAAAGCAACTCTTGCGAAACATTTTGAGAAACTTTTTGGCTGTTTAATTCCTTTGTTAATACATTTTTCAAAGGAACCGCAGTGTAGTAATACCTGAAAAGCTGTGAGCTCTCCGAAACGTAGAACACTTTCTGAAGTCTGCTTAGTGTGTCAACTTTTTGTTTTGACGTCTCAATGGAAGCCAAGGCTGACATGTTCTCATTCTGTCCGCCATTTGCGTTGTATGTTTTTAGTCGGAGTTCTGCAGAGATGGTGACCAGCACCCTCAGATGATGTGCATTCTCAGCACTGATGGCATGTGTGGATTCCATTGCATCTATTGTGTTCCAAACACTGGTCGGTATGACACGTGAGCAAAGAGCGCAGCAATCCACTGCAAGGGACGGCATGCGATAGATTTCTTTCTTTACGTCAATAAGCTTAGCAGTGAGCTCCTGTTTTTCATACTTCCCCATGTTTTCCCTCCATGTGTCCTGTGCCTCCATTAGAGCCATCTTGCCTTCATCATTGGTTAGTACATCGTGCACCATCGCTCGGTACTCATCAAGTAAACCCTTGTCTCCTACCATTAAACATGGGTTCCTTAATATACTAGCAAGATGGTACCCTTCGTTTATGTACACAGTGGCATCAGTTACAAGTGTATAGACCATGTTGCCTGGGCTGTGGATGAGTTCACTTGCAGGTTTGGTAGTGGTTGCCTGTCTGCCCAGTGGAGTCTTGCTTGCCCTTGGCATGGAACCATCGAATGCAAACCCACGCGGTGTTACAGAGTCATAGTACCAGTCATCAAGGGGGTCCTCTGAGTAGAAGTCATTCAGGCTTCTTATTCCCAGTGCAGGGAGAATGGTTTCTCCAAGGTTGACCACTTTCAAGTGTAGATAATGGGTAAGGGTGCGAAAATACACGAGACATTCTTCAGTCTCTTTTTCTGTCAAGATGGCAAACTCTAGATCTGAGTACGGAGTTACCAGCTCTGTTGCCTGTGAACCCATACCCATCAGGGCATACTTACAGGGAGGGGGACCCATTAACCCAATACACTCATCTACAAGCAGACTGATGAATCCATTCCTTTCTTGAGCTATTCTTTCAAACAACTGCCTGACAGACTGGACACGTTTCACCTCTTCCTCTTTGACACACTGGTTATCTTCATCATGTATATAGGGATCCAGCTGCTGGTCAATGGTTTCCATCTCTAATTTGATCTGGTCCCTCATATCCATTAAATATTTCTTGTGTTTAACTTTCTCTACCGTTTGTACATTGTGATCAAGACCTAATACATGTTTCACAAATACTTCTTCTGTGAGCTTAATTGCATTCTCTAAATGACCATTAATATCAGTATCACTTGACCTGGCTATTGCTGCATTGTAGAGTGCTGTTGCTTTGACGAAGTCTCCCCCATCCCCTGCCTGCTGACCTCGCATTCTATAGACGTCACCCAACTTGTATAGGGGCTCCACCTCTCTCTGGTATTGCTGAACAGTTGAGTCTGGATAGAAAATTAACTATGTAATCTTTATTTCTAACACGATAAATATATAATAAGCATGGCACTGCATGTTGGGCAGATACCACATGCCGTTGTCTAATTGTAACCTTTAAGTAACGTATACATGTCACGTGTCGCATGTTAAAATTTTCAATAATCATTGTAATTCATCCTTAATTAACATTAAGGAATCATAGAATTTACACATACTTATGCAACTTAGGTCATTAGTTTTGCGTAACTGGTATTTGTTATATATATATATATATTAACTACATAAACCATGTCTGCCTGTGTTTCGTTCCCAATTACATATATCATAAGCTTGGATATTTCTTTAATGTAATTCAGCTGAATTTTCTCATCAATTATGCATATTGCATGTATATTTACATAATTGTCACATTATCATGTCAATCATCACTTAAACTACCTACATACGACAAATGATGATGTTCTGTCAACCTATTCTTGAGTTATTCTCTTTTGAATATTTTAAACAACCGGCCCTGCAGTTCCAATGCAAGGTGTTTGGGGGAGAGCAAACTTACTGCACGTCTTTCCCAGTACAAGAGCTACCTGTCATTCAGATTTTGTGACCCTAACATGTCTACATCATGAGATATCAGCACCGAAAGTTCAACTGCAGTACCATAACAAGCCGATAGGGGGCCCTTAATCAAGCCATTTCTATGTCTTCTTAGTCCCTACCCACCTACCAAATATCAAGACAATCCACTTTAGCCTTCTCGAAAACATAACCTTCTTAGCGAAGGTAAAGATTCGTGTCCTCCTGTTGAGCCCTCCACTCCGCAACGCGTGACGTCGGCCTTGTAGGCCAAATGGGACTGGGGTTGTTATTACGTCCATGAAAAATGGAGGTATTGTTTTTGGTGTGTCTCTGTGTGTGTCTGGGTGTGTTTCCGCTTTTAACCTTGACCTTCGTCTTCCTAGTTTGCATAATTAATGAGGACATGCTAACCCTCAACAGTACCCCTTCCCGGACTGATTAATCCGTACGCCTGGGGTACGCGCGGACCCCAAGACAGTTTTTTGCTAATTTTTAGAAATTATCAACATACTACCAGCTCAATTGCTTTGCGAATTGATGTGTGAACCTCTGAGTCCACATTACGTACAAAAATCATACATTTTGACCTTTTCCTATTTTTTGGTCAAGAAAAGACAAAAAAGAAGAAATACCCGATTTTTGAACCCTATTCAGACCGAGTGGTTTTTTGAGGCCCACGCCAACTTTAATCTCAAATAACGCATGAACGGCTTCAGCTAGAACCATGAAATTTGGTGGACACTTCTAAAATATATCTGGGAAAAATTAAATATCAGTTAAATAAGTTAATGATTTTTTGTGTTGCCATGGCAATGGGTTTCTGACAGGCAGTTTTATGTGAAAAATCAGTAATTTTGGGTTAAACATTAAAATTTTCTGGGTTTTATATTGAATAACTGTTCCTTTCTGACATTAATAACATCTTACATAATTAATGATAATTTAAATCATTTAGTATTAATAATATATGCTAATTTGATGACGTCATTGGTCAAAATCCAAGATGGCGGACCATATTATTAGCTCTGACGTCATATGACGTCATAATTACACCAAAGTTGTTAGAATTTAATTTTATTGTTACACCATTCTCTGAAAGGTCGGTGGCCATAAGATAAGTGCATAAAAATCATATAAAAACGGAAATAAAGTAATGTATAAAAACGCCAGTGTATGATTACGATTGAAAGCCGGCTGGGGTCAGCGCGGACCCCCCAAAAAAATCAGATATAAACATTTCTAGAAATGGGGGAAACTGATTTTTTGCACTGTTTTGAGGGACAACTTTGTGGGTTACAATTACCTAAAATTTTAGAAAAAAATCTTTAGAAACAAAAAAAATATTACAGAATATATAGTGCTGGGGTCCGCGCGGACCCCAGGTGTACTGTTTAGGGTTAAAATGAAGTATGACAAAGGAGAGGAACTTTACACGAAAAATATTAAATGAATCTAGAAAACCATGAATTAAACTAGATTATGCCACTTACGACCTTATTCCCATAGTAAGTGAGACAAATAAAAAAAGCATTTACAAAAACTCATATTTCATGGAGGTATGAGATCTCCGAATTCTTGTTACAAATTGTCATCATTTTAGTACTATTCTGCCTTTCAATTTATACTTTTATTCCCCTGAAAGTTCAGATCTTTATGGCTCAAAACGAATAAAAAGACAAATATAAAAACAGTAACACTTATATATTTCATGGAGGTATGGAACCTCCAAATTCTTATTTCAAATCTGGCTTGTATATTGTCTTGTTTACTTTAGGTTCTTACACTTACCTCTGGTATGTACCAGCTTAAGTGCAGCTGCAAAGTGCTGCTCTGCTGAGTCCAGGTTTGCTTGCTGTAGGGACGAACTGCCTTTCTCTATGTGTACTTTGTACTGGCTGTAAATTAGATGCAACTTTGTTTCTTTAATCCTGTGTGGATATAGATATAGCTATAGGACACGAACTCGATATATTTAAGTATAACGGCTGATATCAAACGGCAAATCAGAAATCAAAGTCTAGGGGTCGCTTTTGATACATGCTACTCATGTGATACATGGGTACGTAGTAGGTTATTAAGCAGATTTTAAATAGAAAGATAAAGAAAAAACAGTGGAAGAGGCTTAAGATGTGAGATGGATGTGACAAGGATGTGGAGGTGATTTGATCAAGATCCAGAATCTTGTCTTACAACTGGTTTCAATTGGCAAAAGTTAAACGTCTTCAAGTATATAGTTAGTTGTTTATTTGAACTCCCTACCTTGAATCATAGTCAGTGTTGGTGCCATCTTCAGACTTGGACCTGGCATCCGACTGGTTTTCTCCTTTATCTGTCCTTCGGTACAACAGCTGGAGAAAGTGACGATTTAATTTGCTTTATTCAGTCCAAACTTCTTTCAATGTTTAAATTCTTATATGCACAGTTGAATTTTCAAATGTTTCATAGATGCAGCTATCATGCAAATTAACTCATGTATTTGCATAATTTATGCCCCATAATATTATCCTTTACTTACACAAATATGCTGTGATTTAACACTATGATATTTTTACATTTTGCAAATTATCAAAATCAAATACTTAGTCTGATATACATACCTGTTGGATTGACCCCTCCACCTTCTCTGTATACCTGATGCGATGAAGTAGAGTCTGTTTCGCGTCTGAGACCTCACAAATTGTTAAGGCCTTGTTGTACATTGCAGCTGCCTTGGATAACTGTGAAGTATCAAAAGTTTTCTTCCCCTCTCCAAGGTAAAAATCTCCCAGGGATTTTATGACCTCTTGTTCCAGAACCGTGTCACCGTTCGCTATTGCTGTCACTAGGGCCTGTATGTAGGTGTCTTCAACGAACTGAAATTCTTCATTGCCCACATTTTGTTCCAGCCTATCGCAAATCTCTGCTACCCTTAAGACATTGTTATCTACAGTGCCCAAATATTCTTCAAACAACCATTGTGGTCGTGGACTGTACCCCTGCAGCAGTTGCCTAGAGAGTTTTTCCGTGTAGCTGGTACAATGTTTCAGTGTTTGCCCTATGTCTGGATCTGTACAGCGCAGCAGGGCAGCAGCATACAGGGCAGCAGTCCTGTCAAACTCTGCTGCATTTTTCCCGAGCTTGGCTCTCTCCAAGTGCAAATCTCCAAGACTTTTCAATACTTCTGTCTCCGTCTTTGAGTCATTCTTGACAATAGCGTCTCTCAGAGCCCTTCCATAAGGCAGAAGAGAGCCATTATCATATTCCGACATGTTGGTATGCAGGTCCAAGCACTGTAGTTCGTCACACAGGGTCATCATTTTGCGATCGTAACTTTCTCAGCTGCTATCACCCAGTGGTTTCTTGTCCTGTTTTCGTTGGAGGACGAAGCACCTTGGTTAGCTTATTCCAGGTCAAAATAAAACAGAGGTAACGAGAATGAACTGTAGCATTTTGGGCATTCCCCTGGCGAAAACATTGTAGCGTCGCGTATGTGCGAACACCCGGAAGTTACAAGTTTTAACCGCCGACCGGTCGACCGGGAGGAGGTTAGAGGTCAAAGGGCCTCACCAAGGAATCCCACAATCCCTTGCGGTTATAATTACCTTCGCCGAGGTTATGTTTTCTTAGAGGGTCTGCATGCCCTTTTTCGTTAACCGTTATGGGCTATTTTAATTTACCGTTAATCGTTGCCGGCCCGCTCTAATTCAACGTTAAGCGTTATCAGTATATTCCTCGTGAAGCGTTATCGGTCGTTTTAATTGAACGTAAAACGTTATTTGTCATCCTGAATTCAGCGTTAAGCGTTAATGAATAATTCTTCGTTACGCCTAATTTTGCCTATCAAAGTGCAGGAAAATGCGCCATTGAAGGTTTAAAACTACAAAATTTTCCTGGGGAGAATGCCCCCGGACCCCCCTAGATTGCTCGCGCCTTTGGCGCTCGACTCGCGCTTCTGCCCTTTGGCTCTAGCCAGAATCAGTATACCTTCAATTTCCGGAAGTTTGCGGAGAGTTACAGAATTTTTTTAACGAATCCGTCAACCTTGACAGGCAAATTAACAAAAATCTTGAGTAAAATATGAAAACATCAGAAGGACCGACAAACACTCTCAACACCATGATTTGCCTCTCAAAATGCGGGAAATTGCGTTTTTGAAGGCTTAAAAATCCTAAATTTCCCGGGGGAGCATTCCCCCGGACCCCCCTAGATTACGAGCGCCTTCGGCGACTCCCCTCTCAAAAATCCCATCGGTAAAACTGGGGCAGACTGAAAAAATGCAAGCTGCCGAAGTCGACTCGGACACCCGGTATTTGTGGACGCACTCGGGGACCAGGGCAGGTGGGAAACACAGGGAACACCTACCTTTAATGCATGCTTCATTACATGTAAGGTATACGTAATTTTGTCAGTGATCACCTTTCCTCACAAAGCGAGATACCAAATCCAGTGCAGCTCGAAAAAAAAGCCTGTCAATTTACCGTTAAGCGTTGCCGGCCGTCCTGAATTTACCGTTAAGCGTTACCGGCCCTGCTGAATTTACCGTTAACCGTTGCCAGGACCCCCCCATGCAGACCCTCTTCTTAGGCGTTCGTGTGCGTGTCTGTGTGCCTGTAAACACGATCACTTGAGAAGGCTTAAATAGATTGGTAGGTAAATAGGTCTTGAGAAGACCTGGGAGTAATTAGATTTTGGACCCCCTGGCGGATTGTTCTGGTACTGCAGCTGAACTACCGGTTTTCATATCTCATGATCTAGATATGCTAGGGTGGCGAAATTTGGATGGTATGTAGCTCTTGTGCTGGGGATGAAGATAAGACTGTCTTATGGTGTAGAATATGATCAACTGATATAATTAATGCAATCCAATTTGCATAATCAGAGGGATTAATATATAATTTCTGAGTTATAAAGGCTAATAAACACCATTTGGCGAAGGTATGAGATCGTGGAACTCTAGTTTATATTGTTGTAATAAAATTGTATATTGTTTAGCCCCCACAACCTTTCTTAGGAATGAAATGGTATTTAAAGTTCGTTGTTTAAAATATTCTGTTGTAATACATAGGATATTCGCGGTGTAATATTCAACCACAAAATCCACGAGAATCACGCCACATGCACAGCAAACATTTTGTTACCCTCAATACCTTTAGATTGACAAATTTGCTGTATACAACAAAGTATATCATGTACCCCCCCCCCTCTTCAACAAGGCTAATGGACTAGACTAATTGTTCTTAGGACTCATTATTGTGCACGAGTGTTGCCACCTGACATTAGGACGAAATGCCAAGGACGTACCATATATATCACAAAGAAGACAGCCCATATGGAACTGTCACCAATAACCAACAATTCCCAATATTTAATTGTAATGACTTAAATTCGTTGTAGGAATCTTTTTTATTCCATGTTCTATGTTGCCGGCTGCCAAAAAAAAAGCGAAACTACAGAAACCAGTGTAATACAAAAGAATCGCATATTCGTGGTGTACAGGTCTCCATAAAAAACGTGACAATTAAGCCATAGCGTACATTTAGAGCTTTACTTTACATTTAGACTTAATTCAATGTATGCAGTACAAACCTACCATGCACAAAAAAATCATGTACCCTCAAAGGCTAATGGAATGCGCTAATTACTCATACTGTGCACGAGTTTGTCCACCGACGAAATGTCAAGTGTCGTCACCACAGCTTAGGGCCCAGTCGGAGTCAGAAGTCACCGGGTGGGTTTGATTTCCCCGCCGCCGGACCGACACAAGGTGAGCACCGATCTCCAAATTCTGTCCATTCTATCTTTTTAAACTATACATCCACAAAGGGTCAACCGTATTTGTTGGTATAGAATACACCAAAAATATGTTCCAACACGTAAAAAGTACTAAATTTTTGGCCGACATACTGCATTTTTGCCACTTTTAACCATTATTTGCCCTACTACGTTACTAACTAGTTATTTATGTTCATTAGGCAGGCTGCAGTAGGTCAGACAATGTTTCTTCGCGTGTAGTTTTCGTTTAGGTACGCATTCAAGCTAGCCATGGTAGTATACGTGCATATGGGAGTATGGTACACTGAATTCAATTAACATTGTCATTATGTGTTCTATCAATGACCTATGTCGTAATTGACCATCTAATTAGTATAATTAACTATTGTTAGCTGGAATCCTTCGTGAGAACATGAAATATTTGTCATTTTTGTCATTTCAAGTGGCACAAGCGTCCAAACCAAGGGCAGTCTTTGGGTAGCCATACAAAGCCTAGCTTTTGTGTTACAAAAGGATGTCTGTGGTTGGATCTTTCACAGTCTGAATATATGACGTCCAAATTGTAAAACAGTGAATTTGAGCACATCGTAAAATCAGCATTGGATCAAAGGGTAATCTAGCCGCCAATTATTGTTCGAACGATTGTAGGTAAATACAAAGCCTCCGTAATTTAGCACGGAATCTGTTAGTTCTACTAGATAACAGGGAAAGTATGTCTTGTAACACCTTGAGGCATTTTGTTAGTGCCAGGCAGTTACCGGCACCATGTTGGCTTCGAACAAAAGAAACTTGTTGAGCGGGTTCAGAGGCGAATCCTTGTGGCTTTAGGTTGCCCTCACGTTTGACTCTTGGGGACATGTGATATAAATGCGTTGTAGGTATACTGTCATTGAGACGTAATTGATTTCTTTAATTCTAAGTTGCAGGTTACTTCATACGTCAAGACTCATTGGTAAGGGTCATTGACAGATTCTTCGCTTCGTACTTCAGAACTCCAAAAGTCACAACCGAGCGCCCGTTTCTGTATGTGAGTTATCTCTCTAGTTTTACCAATTCGTATACCCGAGTTCAGCGTGTGCTGTGCGTATAAGAATGATCACCAATTTACCTATAAACTTTACGTTTCTAGAACCCCCCTCCCCATTCAGACCCTCCGATAGCCTTAGGGAACCACCTCGCTCGACCTTGGAACACAACAGAGATTTGATCGACTTATCTCACTTAACACAATTGGTTGTTTATAGGTCTTAATCAACCTCAAATTCTTGCTTAAAACCCATTAACAAAATATTCTCCACGATGTGCAACAACTTCATCTAGACATAATATTTAGGGGAATTCCAAAGATACAACAACTCAGTTAACAGGGGTTTTTGGATATAGAAATTAGTCTCTAGTTATCAGCCCAACATTTTTCTTTCTTCCTTAAAAATACTGGTGCAATCTTAAGACGTTTGGAATAGGACAATCAGGTTGGGTTAAGACTTTAGATTTTTAAAGACTTTCAAAATATACTTTTTACTACTCTTTGATTTTGAAGAAAACATGTGATTAATTGGATCTGTACTGGCCGTGCGCAATGATACACATTCTAAGGTCATGGTTGGTCATGTTTACATACTGAACCAACCGGGCGTGAAATTATCAAAAAAATACATTTCACATAAACGTATTTTTTTCTCTCTCTGGCCAAGAAACTAGACCGTCATTGCTTTCCATTGCGCATCGAATATGACATGTTAAATAGGTCTCCAAGCACGTGTTTTTAAAATGTCTTTCTGTATGTATTATATGGTACTTCCCATCGGCAAAACATAAACATTGGAAATTTTAGTTTCTGTGATCACAAAGGTACGAAATTATTGCATTATTAAAGGTTCATTTCTTATTTATTGACTATGATATTTGTTTAGTGTGTGACTGCTATGGGACCGGTGAGGTGAGGTGACATAATCGTTACTCTAGATCTTCAAATCCCAGAATGAATGAATGTCAGTTGACCATATGTTGAATTAAATATTTTGGCCTTTCTTTAGGAGCAGAGCCATAGGATTTGTACTCTGATTGAATTAATCTTTTTTCCAAAATTGCACTAATGTATTTACACATACATAATACATATACATACATTTTTAATGGATAAAAAGGCAACTGCCTGTGTGATCCATATCTGAAACCTTAAAACTACTACATTACAATAGATAAATTACAAAAATAATAAAATATACATTGTCCTCGCTAATACATGTACTTTGGCGATAGTTACTTAAACGTTCAGATTTACAATGTTAGAGTTGTACTTATAATGTCCAGAGTTCAGAGTTATTTATGATCATGTTATAATGTCCAGAGTTCAGTAGTTTCTAACATTAAACGTTCAGATTTACAATGTTCAGAGTTGTACTCGTCTTGTAATGTCCAGAGTTCAGAGTTTATTATCAAGTTGTAATGTCCAGAGTTCAGTAGTTTGTAATATCCAAAATATCAGAGTTTGTAATGTTCAAAATTCAGAGTTGTAATGTCCAGAGTTCAAAGTTGTAATGTTAAGAAGTTGTAATATCAAATTATGTGTATTCCGTCCCCCTCCAGTAACTGTCCAGTCTTGACTTAAAAGAGTTAACAGTGTCTGCTGCCACAACATCTGCGGGAAGGCTATTCCAAGCATTTATTGCTCGTACACTAAAAGAGTTTGATCTAGTTAACTTCTTCGCTTGTGGTTTGGCGATTTTGTATGGATGGCCTCTGGTACGTCCATCTACGTTTAAGTTGAACAGCCGGCCTGGGTCGACACGGTCGAAACCCTTGACGAACTTGAAGACTTGTATCACGTCACCTCTTTTGCGGCGGTGCTCAAGAGTAGGAAGTTGCAGACGACGTAATCTGTCCTCGTAGCTGATTTCTCTGAACCCAGGTACAAGTCGCGTCGCCTTGTGCTGTACTCTATTCAGTAGCTCCTGGTCACCTATAGAGTATGGACCCCATATCACATTACCATACTCTATAATGGGCCGAACCATAGTTTTGTACAACAGCGGTACGGTTGTCTTGTCAAGTCGTGGTACGGTTGTCTTGTCAAGTCTTGTCACACACACACACACGCGCGCGCGCGCGCGCACACATGCACACACACACACACACACACACACACACAACAAAAGAGTCGTCCCTTTACCCGAAAGGAA